ATTTGGTGAAAAGCTGCGTAATAAGTGGTACTGTATCCTACCTTAAATGTCTGTCTTGTTTGAACTTTCTCATTCGTCTAGCCTCAGACTGAACTGTTTTTCTTCATGGAAGCTTTTAGCTTTGAGCTAATAAAATATTTCAAATTGATATTTCATGTCCATTTATCTACTTTTGTGGCAAGTTCCTATGTAATAGGTGGAATAATGTATGTTATCACTTAATGAAATATGCAGTTATAAATTTATAAGCCAAATTTACTGGCATGTTGTAATAGCAGAAACATTGTCAGTCACAGCTGCCAGTTCAAAAAGGCAAATTAACACTGCAAAGGTGGCACAGAAGCGCTTCTGAAGTAGCATTTAGGTGCCTTTACATAGACTGTTTAATGCTGCTCAGAGGTGGCATGAATGCATTTACACAGCAAATACAACTGTATACTTTGATATAAGTGGCTAAGGTGGGTCAGAGCTGGCATAATTTAGTCTGGCTTTTATGCAGCATTGCATCTTTACACTGAATTTTGAGCAGGCACAGACCAGTCTTAACTCAGCAGTGTAAAGACATTTATCATAAATTTAACAGTATATTTTATTACAGTGATCAACATACAATTGTTATGATCCCTCATACACCAAATTTACACCGCAATGGTGGCACAGAAGCGCTTCTGAAGTGGCATTTAAGTATCTTTACTCAGAGGTGGCATTGATGAATTTACAAAGTAATCACAACTGTGATACTAAGGTGAGTCAGAGCAGGCATAATTTAGTCTGGCTTTTATGTGGACTTATGTCTTTACACAGAATTTTGAGCAGGCACAGAGCAGCCTTAACTTGGCTGCGTAAAGACACTTTTATTTCATTAAAATTTTAACATTTCACAAATTCTGCAAGGTGTATGACCACAACTATACATATTATATAAAGTGGAAACAGTAGGATTACTGAGCCCAGGACCTGAGGGGCTGCACAGCTCTCATCGCTAATGACAAAGCCCTCCCACATTCTTTATCTCATCACTCTGTGAGGCTATGCAGAGCTGTCCATTACTGCCAGGGCCAATCAGTCACTTCCTCCTTTGGGATGCTTCTCTGGGTCTCATTAACAGGCTGAGGGCAAGCAGCGTTTGGCAAAGGGCAGATGTGAAAGAGATGAAGAAGTGGTGGGGTTTGTACCAGATGAGAAGGAGAAAGAGGCAGAGTCGAGGCAGCTCTGTTTTCTATTTGTGGGGATTAGACTGACAGATCTGTGTTTGGTTTCGGAGGGGCCTCTGGCTTCAGCTAATCCTCATCACCTGCAGGCCGGTGCCCTCATCCCTTCAAAAAGTCTCAAAAACTCCCCCTTCTGCGGCCTTATAACCCTGCACTTCGGCCCAACAAAGCAAACACTCAGCCTCAGACACAAGCCTCAAACTACGTGAGGTTGACTACAACCTTAGCCCAGAGGAAGAGAGACAGTCTTTCTCTTTGTATCCTTTCACAATCTATTAGAGCCGGCTGTGAGGTGTTGCAGTGTTGGTTTTGGAGAGATAGCAATTATCTGTAGATTAAACTCAAGTGTTACGGAAACTGCTTGTCAATGTCACTCAAGAAAAGAGGAGAAGATGCCCAGATGCTCAGTGAGGAGCCGTAAGTTGGTTTTCAGGTCAGGTCAGGGGCAAAGACCTCTGTCTCCTTTAGTCTCACAATTTTTTCACACATTGTCAACAAGATCGGATCCCTCTCTTGAAATACTAATAACATAAAATTCTGCTACTCATTTCAAACTAGCTTCATACATTGCTAAGTAACAGCGTAACATGAAATTTGTATTCAAATAATTGATTTTTAGGTCTATTATAATACTACTGTATGTAATAAAATACCATTTAAGTGTACTTAAAGTACTTTTAAGTACATTTTAAATCATTGTTTTAAAAATCTTGTACTGTGCTTTAAGTAGCCTACAATAAGAAAACTTATGTGATGTGATAGTGTTGACTAAACACATGTAAAGTACATGATTATAATTTTACTGTAGTGCGCTATTAAATATTACATTTAAAGTAAATATATTTTAAATGTACTCAATTGCAAAATTATCATTACATGACATACAAGTTCCAACAGAAGAAACAAAAAAAAATAGCTTACCATAAATGCCTGTCAGTACATTCAGCAGTACACTTTAACCCTAATTAAAGACAATAGAAATAATTATGAAATTACATAGAGTATATATATATATATATATATATAGCTACTTGAGTCCAGGGGCCAGTTGCATAAACATAGTCACCATGTTAAGACACCAAGGCCCAGTTTCACAAACGGGGGCATTGATGAATTTACAAAGTAATCACAACTGTGATACTAAGGTGAGTCAGAGCAGGCATAATTTAGTCTGGCTTTTATGTGGACTTATGTCTTTACACAGAATTTTGAGCAGGCACAGAGCAGCCTTAACTTGGCTGCGTAAAGACACTTTTATTTCATTAAAATTTTAACATTTCACAAATTCTGCAAGGTGTATGACCACAACTATACATATTATATAAAGTGGAAACAGTAGGATTACTGAGCCCAGGACCTGAGGGGCTGCACAGCTCTCATCGCTAATGACAAAGCCCTCCCACATTCTTTATCTCATCACTCTGTGAGGCTATGCAGAGCTGTCCATTACTGCCAGGGCCAATCAGTCACTTCCTCCTTTGGGATGCTTCTCTGGGTCCCATTAACAGGCTGAGGGCAAGCAGCGTTTGGCAAAGGGCAGATGTGAAAGAGATGAAGAAGTGGTGGGGTTTGTACCAGATGAGAAGGAGAAAGAGGCAGAGTCGAGGCAGCTCTGTTTTCTATTTGTGGGGATTAGACTGACAGATCTGTGTTTGGTTTCGGAGGGGCCTCTGGCTTCAGCTAATCCTCATCACCTGCAGGCCGGTGCCCTCATCCCTTCAAAAAGTCTCAAAAACTCCCCCTTCTGCGGCCTTATAACCCTGCACTTCGGCCCAACAAAGCAAACACTCAGCCTCAGACACAAGCCTCAAACTACGTGAGGTTGACTACAACCTTAGCCCAGAGGAAGAGAGACAGTCTTTCTCTTTGTATCCTTTCACAATCTATTAGAGCCGGCTGTGAGGTGTTGCAGTGTTGGTTTTGGAGAGATAGCAATTATCTGTAGATTAAACTCAAGTGTTACGGAAACTGCTTGTCAATGTCACTCAAGAAAAGAGGAGAAGATGCCCAGATGCTCAGTGAGGAGCCGTAAGTTGGTTTTCAGGTCAGGTCAGGGGCAAAGACCTCTGTCTCCTTTAGTCTCACAATTTTTTCACACATTGTCAACAAGATCGGATCCCTCTCTTGAAATACTAATAACATAAAATTCTGCTACTCATTTCAAACTAGCTTCATACATTGCTAAGTAACAGCGTAACATGAAATTTGTATTCAAATAATTGATTTTTAGGTCTATTATAATACTACTGTATGTAATAAAATACCATTTAAGTGTACTTAAAGTACTTTTAAGTACATTTTAAATCATTGTTTTAAAAATCTTGTACTGTGCTTTAAGTAGCCTACAATAAGAAAACTTATGTGATGTGATAGTGTTGACTAAACACATGTAAAGTACATGATTATAATTTTACTGTAGTGCGCTATTAAATATTACATTTAAAGTAAATATATTTTAAATGTACTCAATTGCAAAATTATCATTACATGACATACAAGTTCCAACAGAAGAAACAAAAAAACCATAAATGCCATAAATGCCTGTCAGTACATTCAGCAGTACACTTTAACCCTAATTAAAGACAATAGAAAAATTACATAGTATTTTCAGTTGAGACAGCTCAAACATGCATTTTAGTCTGGAACTATCTTAAGCCCTGTCTGTGAAACCGGGGGAAAGTGTCTTAAGAACTTGTTTGACTAACTAGCAGTTAACCAAGTGGTTATCATTCTTACTTTTCAGATTCAAATGAGATCAATCTACGTTTTTATGTAACTGACTTTAAAGTTATGAACAGTCTTGCAAAAAAAAATTAGGAGTATAACTTTTTAGGACTAGTCAAGCAGTTTATGCAACCGGCCACAGATTACATGTGGGTCAAAAACACTCAAGTTCAACTAATTGCATTTGAAATCAATTTAAACTATAAATTGATGGGTAGCTGCAGTAACTGATTACATGTAATCTCGATTATGTAATCAGATTTTAAAAATCAAGAACTTGTAATTAAAGTATATTACATTTCATAATGGTCATAATCAGATTACAGTTATTTTTTTATGGATTACATGATTACATATTATTTACACAATGGCAGTAAATCATTCTTAATTTATTAAGAAAGCACCTCTCAAGCAATTAGACCAGGGATTCCCAAAAGTTTTTGTCAGCCAAACCACTTTGACATGTCATATTTAAGTTCATATTAACATAATTTAATAACACATTTGCATGTTTACAGTTCGATTACACTTAATGGCCACATTGACATGCAGGTAAACAAATTAAATATTTCTATTTTTAGTGTTCAAGGGTTTAAATTATTTATTTTACAGTTTTATGATTTAATCTATTATTAGCTTTTTATCAACTCACAAACCCCCTGCAGTTCTTACATTTTCTTTCTCTTTGCTTTTTAACTGTATATCAATATGGTATGTTTAATGGTATAAATCAAGTTAGATAAAAAGTCATCTAAGAAGTAGTCAGAATACATTACCTAAAATTAGTAACCTGTAACTACCCAGCTCTTGTTATACTACATTTTCTTATGCAAATAACATGCCATTAAATGTGCAAAAACATTACATTTACTTCACACTTAAGTATTCTTGTATGTTATTTCCAAGTTGCTAAAAGTTGCCAAATACATTTTAAAAAGAGCTAAATTTGAAGCAAGGTGCTTTTTGAGAAAAAAAAAGTTGCTATGATAGGCTAGTCTGAAAAGTTGCCAAATCTAGCAAAAAAAACTAATTAATTAATTAATCTAAAAAAAAACGCTAAATTAGCATCACTCCGCTTCTCTTTCTGCCCTTTATCAGCCACCAGATTTGGTAAGATCACTCTGGATTACTTGCTTTTACATATTCATATTTACAGATAATTTAAAAGTAATCACATACCACCCAGATCTGCAAATCTTGTTTTCTATCAGTTGTTACTGTAAAGTAATCTGACGGGTTTTTGCCTGGCGGACAATAAAACAGGCAAAAAATACCATATACTTGCATTTAAACATGGACCAAATCATATATAGAGACCAAAATACACTGTAAGTATGAAATCTGTAGAAAAATGGTACTGGTAATTTTCTGCCAAGACATTATCTGTTCATTTAGCACAAAGCAATCTGCAGGTCTACAGGTAAAACAACTGTGAAAACTCAATACAAAAATTCCTTCTTGTTAACGCAGTACATTTGGCCTTGTTTTTATGGACTTTTATGGAGTGTATCATAGAGGCTCTTTTGATTGGGCCAGTAAGTAACCACTCACAACATCCTAGCAACTACATAGCAACAAGCCAAAAAACACTAAGAACATCTTAAGCCTGATTCGGACGGTAATTGTTTCTCATGTGGACGTCTACCAAAAGTCCAGAGTTTTGCGACCTTAGGGAGCGTGATGGATTGTAGCGTGGTAGAAGACTAGTTAGGTACGCAGGAGCTAACCTATTAAGGGCCTTATAGGCAAGTAATAATATTTTGTAACTGATACGGAAGTTAATAGGTAGCCAGTGCAGAGACTGTAAAATTGGGGTAATATGATCATATTTTCTTGACCTGGTAAGGACTCTAGCCGCTGCATTTTGGACTACCTGTAGCTTGTTTATTGAAGATGTAGGACAACCACCTAGCAGTGCATTACAATAGTCCAGTCTAGAGGTCATGAATATATAATACACATTTTAATACTGTATTGCATACCTGCTTCTGCCATTATAAACACCCATTTCGAATGTTTACGTGCTTTTCTTCTCTTTCTGCTCCCGCTCACTGTGGTGGAGCAGTTATAAGATATTGTTCTTGTAAATACTTTCCAGCATTTCAGAAATAAATATGCATGCAAATTACAGCGAAGTACAACAGTTACCATACGGTGTTCGGCAGTGGTCAAAAAGGATTTAAACACTGAATTTTGAATTGATTTGTTAAATGGTGAAAACAACCTACATCCCCATGAGAAACAATTAGCATCCGAATAGGGCTTAAGAAACCATACAGCAGCCCTCTGGCAACCATGCGCACATAGCATTGTAATAGTGAGTTTTGCACAGGCAAAAAAATTTAAATGCTAGTTGAACTAATATTGTCAGCTATGACTATCTGATATGTTTCTGTTTTACAGCCCTGATTTTGAAGCTCTTGTCTGTTATTTACAAACTTGTACAGAGTGACTCCTATGCTACTAAAAGGTAAGTGATATTCGATACAAACTTTATAAGTTAAAATGTGGTCAACGTTTATATTTATTAAGTTTTTATTAACTGTTAACCTTCAATGGTTCACTTTATATGGTTTGTGTTGAGACTAATACATTTTTTAAAGTACAAAAAATCCATGTTCCATATTTACTTCAATAAAAATGACTGTAAAATGCTGTTTAAAATAGTTTTAGATGGAGTTCAGCTTGTCGTACTGCAGGACTTCTTAGAACTATTTCATGTCAACTACCCAAGATCTATATTTTGGCAAGTTTTACTCCAGCGCCTTTTAGTTATTGCCTGTTTCGTGTCTAAATATTTAACATTTTTGTCAGCTTTTGCGGACCGTTTCATTGAAACCACCTGTGGATGTAAGTGATGATCTGATTATAAATCAGCAAACAGCATCATAAATCATCTGATATAGGGAGCAGGTGGAACCTTTGATTTTTATGACGTGATTTGTCAAGTGCACCTGTGCACTGAAATGTTTTCTTTTCTCTCCGTCAGGGACATATACTATAATGATCCACAGCTGTTTGGGTCACAGAAGACCTTGGATTCCATCCTGGATGACATTTCATGCATGCTCAAGGTTCCTCGCAGGAGTTTGCATGTGGTACGTGCATGTGTGTGAGATTTGAATTTCTGAGTCTTTTATACACTGCTTTTTTCATAAGCACTAAAGATAATGTGTTCACAGTAAATAATTTCTTTTAATAATCCTCACAGTTTGCAACATCCAAAGGCTTAATCTCAGGTGATCTGTGCTATTTGGAGGAAGATGGCACAAAGGTGGACTGCAGTTCCAGCTCCACTGTGAGTCCAGATCGCCAGCCAACCTTTCTGTAAAACTCACTTAATGCTCACTGTATGCCAGTGCATGATTTATATAATCCCCTTCTGCCCACGAGCATTCATCTATAATTCTACTAGCAACATTTTTAGACTGTATCTGTCAAACATTCACAACAGCTTGCTGTTCCACTTTACCACTGGTCTGACACACCATTCTGAATCTACTCAGTCATTTTATCTCTTTGAAGTTATGACTTTGTTTTTCCATACAAGACTATTTTTGCTGTGAAATATGAAATGTTTTTATAATTCTGTTCTTGTTTCTCCCTAGGCGGTTCCGGTGTCTTCCAATGTTAATGGGATCAGAAGTATCCTTCCTGTTTACTTTAACCATGTCATTAAATGAATGCCACCCTATGCCCTTGTGGTGATCTATCTTTCTGTTTGTCTCTGAGTCCCTGTGTGGACTAGTGTTTGGGCCAGTTGTTTTAGTATTATTTAAATGCTGTTATAGCATTTATTAATATTTTTAATTATATTTTATTTTTTTATTTAAATTTTTCTTTATTTTTAGTAACAATTTTAGTAACTTTATGTGCTTTTGTCATATAAGTTTAATTTTTACTTTAAGTTTTCATCTAATATTTTATTTTATTTCAGCTTTTTTTCCAATTACAAAAAAATAATTTTTAACAGTATTAGTTAACAGTAACAACACTGGTTTGGATGGTAATTGTGTTACAGAGGGACCAGCACCCGAGACAAAACTTTGGAAATATTTTCTGACCATTGCCAAGTGCCTTACACTTGTTCTGTGCGTTACTGTGTGGATTTCTGGCACAATGGAGGCTTGTATCACAGAATTTTTGAAATGATTCACATTAAAGTTACGTCACTGCTGCAAAAAAGGGATAGTTCACTGAAAAATGAAAAGTCATTTACACCCTTGATGTTGCAAACCTGTATGACTTTTTTTTCTTCTATGGAACATGAAAGAAGAGCTTTTAAAGAACATTGGAAACCATTCCAGATTGTAAACTTTAATATATACAAATATTACAATTTTAAAGACTGTATGATCATTATGCTCTCTGCTGTATTATCCGTTACATTCCTCAGCGATGTGAAGACATTGTATCAGCAGCGAAATTCATTCTGATAGTGGAGAAGGATGCAACTTTCCAGAGACTACTGAGTGATGACTTTTGCACCAGACTTTCTCCCTGCATCATCATAACTGTAAGCGTCTTTGTTAGATCAGTGCTACTGTGTGTTTTCAAGGCCTGAATGTTTGTTCTTGTGTGTCCATCAGGGTAAAGGGGTGCCTGATGTCAACAGCAGACTGATGGTGAGGAAACTGGGGGACACGCTACACGTCCCTGTCTTTGCTCTGGTGGATGCAGATCCTTACGGTACAAACACACGCACCGGGTCTGAGATGATTGTTAAAGGAATAGTTCACCCAAAAATGAAAATTTGCTGAAAATGTACTCAACTTCAGGTCATCCTAGATGTAGATGAGTTTGTTTCTTTATCAGAACAGATTTGGAGAAATGTAGCATTACATCACTTGCTCACCAGTGGATCCTCTGCAGTGAATGGGTGCCGTCAGAATGAGAGTCCAAACAGCTGATAAAAACATCACAATAGTCCACAAGTAATCCACACCACTCCAGTCCATCAGTTATTGGCCTGTGAAGTGAAAAACTGCATGTTTGTAATAAATCAATTATTATATAAGATGTTTTTAACTTCAAACTGTTGATTCATGCAAAAATACGAGTCGTCTATCCATAATATTGCTTTCTCCAGTGAAAAGGTTGTCTGAATCAGGAGAAAAAATATGCACAGGTCAAGCACTGTTCCAACAGTTCTAATCAAATGTGTCAGATTTTGATATTAGAGGACAACTAGGGTTGGGTACCGAAACCCGGTACCAATATGGCACCAGTACCTATGTAACCGGTATGTACTAGAACCGAATCAGAACGCAGATTTCGGTGCCATGCCTGAGCGATCGATTGAAATATTTGTCCTCTGGTTCTCCGAAACGGACGTAAGAAGAATCATCACCGGCACAGCATGTGAAAAATAATTTCCCGACTGAGAAAATGCACGACTTGAACTCAAGTCGGAAAGCTCTAATAATACAAATCCAACAAATCTTGTGATGAGGATTGAGAAATGAGGATTGAGGAAATGAGAGCATCCAAGGAGCGCGTGAATGCAGTAATTACACTTGCTCTGATGGCAGCAGGTAGCCTTCCGTTAACTAAGCTAAACATGCTTAAATACTTTATACTTTAAAAATACATCGATTAGCAATGGATTATAAATATACTTAATTATTATGAAATTACCAGAGATGGCTTGAATAACACAGATAAACTATATTGCCACTTTGACTGTTGGGTAGAAGTCTGCTGCGGAGCTCGCCCCAGTGTGGGCTCGGCAGAAGTGCGCATAGAGGGCGCAGACTTAACGGACTTAGTCTCGCGGACTTAACGGACACGCGCACGTGGTGGCCATTGTAAGTCCGAAAGTGCACATGAAGTGTTCCATTTGGGACAGGGCCGATGTCTTTGTCCATATAAGGGATTTCCTGGAGGGTCACCTGTTCGGCTACATCTGTGACTGGATATGTGGATTTTCTGTACGAGGGCGCCCTCTGGCGTCCAGTATGAATGAAACGACATCATGTGTTTATAATGCTAATGGCCAATCCATCATTTTTTGGGGAATTTCTTTTTTTTAATAAGTATCAGTTCAGGCACCGGAACCGTTTTAAAAGTATCGATTTGGCACCAGTATCGAGAAAAGAAAAAAAAAAACGATACCCAACCCTAAGGACAACAGGGGATAGACTTTTTCACTGGAGCAAGCTAATGTTTTAACCAGTTTGAAATTAAAAACATCTTAATGATGGATTTGTTTTTTTACGATCATCCAAATCTGTTCTGATGAAGAAACAAACTCATGTACGGCTGGTATGGCCTGAGGGTGAGCACATTTTGAGCAAATTTTCATTTTTGAGTGAACTATTCCTTTAATCGTGCTTACTAGGTCACGCAAACTACCTCTCAAGGTCTTAATGAAAAGTCTTGAATTATTCAGTGTTAAGGTCACTTCACAAACATCATGTTCCCTGCAAAATGTAATTTATACTTTGTAAAGTCAATGAACTATGAACACACACATGCACTTAATGCAAAGACAACAAACACAGGTGCACTCAGCGTTGATGGGTTCTTTGAGAACAACCAGCCCTGCAGTGATTTTCATTTGTGGCAGGTCCAGTGCAGTTTAGCATGAGGAGCGTTGAGGCCCCTGCTATTTCTGACACTGTCATTATCAATGACTCCAGCGCTCTCTGTGCATGTGTAATGCTTTACTTTGTTCTAGGGTGAATTAAACTGTCCCAAAGGATAGTTGCAAAGGTATGGTGGTGATTGCAGAATCAGTCTCTCTCTTTTTTTCTTTTTCCCAGGCATCGAGATCATGTGCATCTACAAGTACGGCTCACGGGTAAGTCCTGTTTCCTGCTATTTCTGTGCAATTTCCAGTGAGGCTTTTGCATTGCGGCGACGTGTAATTATTCTTCTCTCTTTGTGGCAAGACAAAAAAGAGGAAGCACTCATTCATGAACTTAAAATTTACCCTGTGGAAAAAGTAAAGCGTTTATACATGTGTGTGACACATCTGCAGAGTATGTGGCAACAGTCTGGCTGTTTAACTCGCTTTCACGTACAGAATCCCGCACTGTAAAAATAATTTGCTTAATGAATATTTTTGTCATTTTCCTATAAAATTATCAAAGCACCCTAAAACATATTAAAAATACATATATTTTGAATTGTATACTTTTTATATTAAATATAACAATATTATGTATTATGTAAGATAAATATCAAGATACGTTTTCAAACAATCTACAATTCAAATGTTTGAGGTCAGTAAGATTATTTCATGTTTTTGGAAAAAGTATCTTATGTTCACAAAGACTGCATTTTATTTTATCATGAATACAGTAAAAACTTGTATTTTTGTAAAATATTAATATGTAAAAGAAGTATTTTCTATGTTAGTGTCACGTGATCCTTCAGAAATCTTATTCTCAAATATGCTGATTTGCTCAAGAAACATGTCTGATTATTATCAATGATGAAAAAGGTGTGCAGCTTAATATTTTTGTGAAACCATTTGACTTTTCAGAATTTTTTTTATGAATAGAAAATTTAAAAGATTTAATTAATTTAATCTTGACCGAATAAATGTATTAATTAAAAATCTTACTGACTTTACTACAATTTTAAAACAGTAGTGAACAGTTGTTTTTTTTACAGAATTTAGAGAGAGATTTATATTCAAAACAAGAAATAACTAAACTTAACTAAAACTTAATAATTGTGCATCTCAATTAAATATGTCCTGGTTTAAGGATGTTTAGATACTTTGGTCACACTATATTTTAATGTCAATTCTCGCTTTTAACAAACCATTAACTATGACTTTTGCCTCAATAAACTCCTAATTTGCTGCTTATTAATAGTTAATTAAGTTGTTAAGTTTAGCTGTTAGGTAGGGTTAGGGATGTAGAATATGATCATGCAGAATATGTGCTTTATAAGTACTAATAAACAGCCAATATGTTATTAATAGGCATGCTAATAAGCAACTAGTTAATAGTGAGAATTGGTCACTATACTAAAGTGTTACCAATATTTTTAATGAAAACGATTTTGTGTTCATGATGATGTGTTCAGCACATGAAAACATAAATGTGGTGAGTAACATTTCATATGTTCTATCACACATCATATACAGTCAAACCAAACATTATTCAGACACCAGATATAATTTTTGATATTTTTTTTACTAGTGGGTGCAGGACACTATAGTTCATTTATGTAAGTGAGGATAGCAAAATAAAGTAAACTGTGACAAATCATACCCAAAAATTCTTCATACAGTGGACTACCAGTAAAATTTGGGATCAAAAATATTCAGACACTTTGACCTGACCAAGTGTTTTTTACTTTAATTGCTAATGCGACCCTTTTACACCACAGACTGAACAAAATTAAGCATTACTTGGTAATTAGTTGACCTAAATTGGTATTATCTAATTGTGTACTTAAATTTAACAGCTGAATAATTTTTGGTTGATTGTAATCCATTACATACCTTTCTATCAAAGTTATCTGACATTATTAAGATGAATTGCGTTCTGACAGAGTTTAACTCAGAGTTCTTGTTATATTTTATTACCATTTTCTAAACTATAGCAAATGTGATATAATATGAGAAATGTTGCAGGTGTCTGAATACATTTTGGTTTGACTGTAATTTGCTTTACTTAGTTTTGAATTTTTCAATACTCAACTGCTTTAGTAAATCATGTAAGCTCATTTAATGTCCGAAATGAAGTCTGTCCAGCTTTACGAGCTCTAACTGTCACTTGTCCTCAGGCAATGGCCTTCGAGGCCCACAGTCTGACTGTCCCCAGTGTGCTGTGGTTGGGCCTCCTGCCTTCAGACATCCAGAGGTTTGGGAAAGTCAACTCATTACTCTGCTCTGTGGTTCGTGATTGAGGCTGGGCTTGCTCTGGTTTCCGTTTTCTGGGTTTTTTTTGTTTTGGTTTTTGCTGCTGTTGCTGTTTGTTATTTCCTTCCTCTTGAAGGCTATTTTTAAGTGGATGTGTCAACTGTCATGGACCTCAGAAATCAGAAGCTCTTTTAAGAAATACACAGTAGAATGAAGTCTTAGTTGCAGTTGTTGGCACCACGTACATGATATGTTCAACACTGGCCACTTTACATGGTACACTCCCTAGTTTCACTTTCATCACTTTTGTGCTTTTAAAGGAACAGGCGTGGGTAATTAATGCCACACTACCAAAAAATAATGCAATTTTCCATCTGCCAATCCGGATTCAGCAGACTACCTCAATCTGGCGTAGTTTACTGGGTCTGTACAACATCTATCTGTACTTAAGTCGACTCTTTCAAATTCTGTCCACTTAATTTGATGATTTTAATTGGATTAAGGTCATCATTTGATGAAGAACTGCTGCCGTGATCCATAGAAAATACACATTTACAAGTAAAATTCTGTTTTCCGCCAGCACAACATTAATTTTGGCAAACAGTACTTGATGAATCTATATGATAAACCTCGTTTTCATTGGAAAGTGCAGTAAAAAGAATGCCTTAGAGTCTGGATTGTGATCGGATTGCAGTTTTTGTACTGAAATGCACAAACTGCATGTACAAATGGCCAGCTGTTTAGTGAATTCAGCATGCATTCAAAAAAGCACTGGAAACATCCTCAGGTATTTTGGTTCTGATTCCGACAGCATCAGCACATTCATGCTGCCAGCTTCCTGCTCCACCTCATCCCAGAGACACAACTGGACTGAGATCCTGCACGTGTGCATGCGATTGCAATACACTGATGTCATGTTTGCGAAAACAGCTTGAGAAACAGCATCATTTGTAGAACAAATCTGCATGAAATTAAAAACAGTTGTTTTGGCCAAATACTGATTCTACTGCACAAATGTATTGGATTTAATGGACTACGCAGTAGTTTTAATCTGCTACAGCACAGTATGATAAATGAACAGAACTGACTCTGGCCTGGTCTTAGCACAATGCTATTGTAAAGCGAGCACATTTTAATATTTGTGCCTTCTAAAATGAGAAAATGTCAGCACATCAGTAGTTTCTCAGATGTGGGAATCAGCAAATGGTGGATCCAAGTTCACACGCCTTCCCAATTTTGATGTTTTGTTCAACATCTGCGACACTTTAGGATCATGTCTGAATGCCTAAAGGAATGATGACCACAAAAACTAATTTTGATTTGTCCCTTTCTTTATAAGAAGAATAGTGAAGCGTATCATTTTATAAAAACACGCATTATACAGTTAAAACGTGCTTTTTTTTGAGGTGTCAAGTTGTTAATAATGTGTAATGATGTCAAGACTTCAAAGTACATTTTAAATAATTACGTTTTAATAATATTTGGTTGTGCTTTAAAGAAGTGCACTTGTTTTGATGTATTACTAAATCACATGTGAAGTACTTGATTATAGTTTCAACTGTAGTGTCATTAAATATTACATTTAAAGTTAATATATTCTAAATTGCACCTTCATTATTTCAAATGTACAGTGTAATTATATCTAAATACATACAAGTAAGTTTCAACAGAAGTGACATTAAAGTATATTTTACTTTACCCATAAATGCTTGTCAGTACATTCAGCAGCACACTTATATTTCAAAGTCAATAGAAGTCATTATGAAGGAGTGAGTGAATTATGAGAGTCCTACATGGGGCAAAAGCATTCTAAAGTTCAACTAACTGCATTTAATTGAAATTTAAACTATAATACATTTTCATTTAATTGCAGTACATTCAGTTCTGACATAAAGGGATCGTTAATCCAAAAATAATGGGTCATAATTTACCCTCAAGTTGTTTGAAACAGTTGTCCAGACTGTTTCTGGTGCAAGGGAAGACCAAAGTATTTTATAGTATCAACTTACTTAACACTTACCTTGTATTAAACCTATAAAACATTAGTTCCAGTCACATGCTTTTCTATTTGGCTCTGTCTGCCTTTATTAACTCTGGTACTATGTAAAGTGGGCAGTGAGTATATGTAGTCTAAGTGTAAATTGCTTAGATCGTGTATAATAGATTATTATGAATGCATAAGTTCTCATGGTGTCTGGTTATGTATATGGCTGTCACAGGTACAGAGTCCCAGAGGAAACGCTTATTCCATTTTCTCAAGCAGATGAGAGCAAACTCAACAGCTTGAGGAGCAGAGACTACATCAGCTGCCAGCCTGCCTGGGAGAGAGAGGTGCCTCGTGCCATGCTTGTCATTTTAACAGAAGATGAGCCCAAAGATGTTTTCTCTGAGAATGTGACCGTAGTGTGTTGGCAGGTCCCAAGAATGTGTGTGTTGTAATCTGTGTGTCTGTGTGACTTCTCAGATAGAAACAATGCAGAGACTGAAGCAGAAAGCTGAGATACAGTCCCTGGCATCCATCGCCCCACATTTCCTCACTCGAGTCTACCTGCCAAATAAACTGCGCTATGGAGGCTGGATCTGAGCATCTGCTGCCCTCTGCTGGATTATATAGATGCGTGTTCTGCATGAGTAAATATTCCAGTGTGTTCTTACTGAATGTTAGATGAGCTGTTATGTTAGAGTTATGAGCTCAAATATGCCATAAATCATTTGCGCCGTTATGTTGAAACTGCTTTGGAATGTCACACATTTGCTTTGGCTGTGAATATAATGCAATGGAATAACCTAAATAAATGAACTCATCCCTTTTTTTTGCTAACTTCCTCATGAAACGGACTAATTAATTTAAGTATTAAAGTATTAAACTATGCAGTGGCTGGTGTATGACATTTGTGCAAGACGGTATTTACTGGAGGCATTGTCTTCACACTTTTTTAGTGGTTTATTCATTTTTATTGATATTTATTTTCATACGATTTTGTTTTGCAGGTAAATAAATGAGTCTGTACGGTGCTTCAGGTCTTTAACAGTCCTGTGGATCATAATCTCGTGAAGGTAGACTAATGACTCTTGTTTAGCGCCAGGGGGCGGTGTTTACTCAGTTTTCAATTCAGAAAACATTTAGGACACCTTTGACCCTTCTTAGGTTTTGAGGTTTAAGCAAATACCAATGACAGTCCTCAGTCCTCCTTTTTCGATATAAAGCTTCCGCGTTCAGGAAAAAGGTGGATTGCAAAACTTTTTTTCAAAAACTTTGAAAGACACTTTTACCAGCTATTTACTAATTACAGAATTTTTTCATGAATGCTTTATACTCTCGTCCTTTTTTTATTATTGATGCATATTATTTGATTAATTTTAGGACGTTGAGGTTATTATCTGTCTGGCCTCAGTCCGGCTGCAGCGCCTGGGAGCTTCCTCATCGTGGTCCTGAGCCAATGATCTGATGAATAAAGAAGCTACAAAATCAAGCCTGTGACACTTAAAGGAAGTCTTCAAAAGTTTTTTTCAGCAAGAGATCAGGGGCCGTATGTATAAAGCCGCTCAAAGTAAAAGTTTAGTCTTAAGTGTGTCAAAATTCTAAGAATGACGTAATTTTACTCTTATTCCTAGACTTAAGAATAAGAGTGATTCATAAAGGTTCCTAAGTGTTAAAAGAGGTCTCAGCTCCTAAATTATTTAAGAGAGCTGAAGAGGTCTCCTAACCTAGTTAGGAGTAATAAGATGGCAGCAAAGAGGAGACGACAAACACTTTGCAGCGAAAATATATCGGACTTATATGATAATATGGAGTTGATAAAACGATACAAACTTAATTGTAAAGATCAAAAAGTCTTTTTTGATAAAAACTAACTGATAAAGTAAAAAATGTAATAACTTCTTCCACTCAACAAGTCAATGCTCTAACAGCAGAAATTAAAGTAGTAATTAATTTTTTTTGGCTGGAAAATTGGAAAAATGCAGCAATGCACCGGTGATGACACAGTAAGCAGGGTCTTACATATTGTGGCACTAACCCCACCAAACACAACTGTGGCCAAAAGTGATGTTTTGAATTTTTTATTTATTTTTATGACCCCACATTTCACTTAAACCGTTAAAATACAAAG